GAAGGGAAGGAAAAAAGTGTTTAAGAATTTTTCATAAAAAGTAAAAAAATAAGAAATTTTGAAGATTGATCATAAAATCTTTTGCCCGTTTTGAAAACGGAGAAACTCAATTAGAAGTCAGAGAAGAACAACAATAATGGAACTATGCCTCAACAATTCAATGATAAGGGTCAACAATAAAATGACTGGTCAACTGGATGCAAAATGACACATGGCACTCATCATCTGAATACAATGGACAATACTGGAAAGAAATGATGCTCCAAATTCAACTAGGCTGTGAAAGAAACTCCATAGGTTCTTGTCAAACTCATTAATTTTTTTTAAATTTTTGTAACCCAATATTTTTCTTAATTCCCATGTATGCAATTTTTCTGTTTTTAACCCCCAAAATTATGTAATCTGCCCTATTCAGTAATTCTCTCTAAAAATTATTAAAGTCGGAGAATATGGAGTTAAATCACCAACAGCAGAAAATCTTTGATGACAAGAAAAAGATTTTTAAACCCAAATGGAGATTGTTAAGCGATATCAACAAAAAAAAAAAAAAAAAGAAAAATAATTATTGAAAATTCCGTCATGAGAAAAAAAGACGAGAAAGCTAAATTAATAATAAAAATTAAAGTGCCACCCGTTAAATCGGAGAAAATTTAGTTTAAAAAAGCAGCCTAAACAAATCTCCCAAAATATTAGAACGTGGACGTTCTTTTCGAAGAGGGAAGGAATGCTGCATTCGCTTAATCAAATAAACAATTTGCATTTTCACATGCAAATATAAAGTTGACCTTTTTCTAAATATAAAGGTCTCCCGACATTCCCAAACAATTCTTGACTCTTATCTTATCTTTGTTATTCACTTTCCATTTATATTTTGACCCTTAAATTGTCTCTATAAATACCCCAGACTTTTCCTCATTATTAGAAGACTTGGCCCAACCATTTCTCTCCCTTGTTATTGTATCCCATATTTATATGGAGAATAAATTGAATGGAATAAAGAAATATTTAAATAATGTAATTCAGTCTAATACAAGTCCCCAGAATAGTAGAACCCGAGTTAAGCTATATAAAACCCAAATATAGCATGCATCAGATCCCGAAGCAAATCCCGACTTTATAAATTGACTAGAAGTCTGTGAAATAAAGTTAACAGAAGAGTGGAGGCGTGAAAGTGAAAAAAATTTTCGCCTGCGGCGCAGAAAAGGGAAGAGATCTGGCACCTTGACATCCAAAATTTTCAAAATTTTCGCCTGCGGCGCAGAAAAGGGAGTGACTAAGACATTATAGAGATGTCTTGATCACTGTCTTTAAAACTTTAACGAAATATTGAGTGATTTGGTGTGATATCGAACGATCAAGGGGTGTTGAGGGGAGTATCGGTGTGGATTTGGAGTATAGAAGAATATCGGTGAATTTACAGGGATTAATTTAGATTTGAAGAGAAATCGAGGGCATAAGAGATATTACTACATGAGTTATCAATTAATCCCTCAATTTCAGTTCTTAATCGTCCACATTTGAACGTAACGCACTTAATCGTATAGACTTGAACGTTTAGACTTAAATACCCTTGGCCTTCCAAAAAAATATTGCCTTCGGCGCTTAAAAGGCAGCTAATCTGGCACCTTGGCCTTCCAAATTTTTCAAAATTTTTGCCTGCGCCGCTTAAAATAGAAGAAGCTCAATCCCCCATTACCTTATCCTCCCTTAATCCCCTGAACCGGAAAGTAAATCATGCGTCTACTAGACTTAAACTCACTATTTCAGCACCGCAGTGGAAATTTTAGAATTATATTGAGTCGTATGTGAAGAAAATAAAAATTTAAAAATTTTGCAAAATTTTTTTAGTAAATCCCGATCCCGATTTTTCAATCCCGGTCCCGATTCGGGATCGGGACCGGGATCGGGATCTCCAGTCCAAATCCCGATCCCGATTTCGGCCAATCCCGATCCCGTGTCGGGATCCGGGATCGGGATCGGGATCACCATTCCTAAATCCCGATCCCGGGTTTTTCTCTAAATCCCGATACCGCTTAACTCTAATGGAAACTGGACTTGGAGTATCATACGAGAATCGGGATTGGTATCTCGAAAATCATATTCTTGGAAACCGAGAAAATTTTTCGACATGTCTCATTTTGTCGGGTCAGTTTTGGATATAATAAGGAAACTTAACTGGTTTTATAGTTTAAAATCCAAAAATTTACAGAAAAATCTCAAAAAAATTTTAAATTCCACAGACTCAGTTAATTTTTATACACTCATTAGCCTGATTTACAATCAAACCTAAATTCTATATAATAAATTAAAAAATAAATTCAGGTTGATAATGGAACACGACACTTACAACAGCTGATTCTAGCTGATTAAAATCAGCTATATAAAACTACAAATCAAACAAAGCACTCGGTAATCTAGAAGAAAAAAATTGAAGAAAGACACAAAGTTACTTAGACTAACTAAGGAAAGACTCGGAGAGAGACTCGGAGATTCTTCATATTTTTCTTATTAACTTAGGACTTGAAAACCTTCCTTAATTTACTCATAATTTTTCATTTTTAAATTATATACACTTCTAACTTTGTTTTTAAATTTATTTTATAAATATTAAAAATATTATACCTGATTTTGATTGTTCAAACTATCTAGGATCACTAAAAAATGGTTAAGAGATTATGTTTACACAAAAATATATTGGGTAGGAAGGAGCATGAATCTGAGTCATTTTAGCAGAACGTGCTTCACTCACACATGGAGTCTATTTTTTCCTTTTTTTTGGGAACTTATTTGTTGGAAATACGAATTTTGGTAGGAGCTTATAAACACTGATTGCAAGGCCAATTCATATTTTTTTAAAAAACTCCGGCTTGCCCGAAACAGATTTGTAAACCGGAACCGGATCCAATTTGAATTCCGGATACGGAACCGGAACTAAAAAAACGCCGGAAATTCTTTCTAACTTCCTTGCACTTTTAATTATTTGTATTAAAAATAGTGCATTATTAGCAGTTTCACATGATTGATTAAAATTATGAAAGAGGAAATCTATGATAAAAATTTTATTAAAGAGGAAATAAAAGTAAGAGAAAATTAAAGTAAAATATTATTGTTAAAAGAGATGTTAACAAATAATTTTAATTTGTTTTTATTAAATTTAATTATTTATTTATTATATTCTGTTACTGCAAATGAATATTCTGAAGAAGAATATAATGGTTCGGTAACTTAAATCGTTTCGATATGATCTATGGGTACTTGTGTAGTTCCCCTCCCCTCTCCGTCATAAGCTCCGCTCTAATCTTCTAGCTATGGGTACTCGTGTAGTTCTCCTCCCCTCTTTCCTCCATAAGCTCCGCCCCTTATTTTCACTCTTCCTTTCTTATAAAGAACTTATTATTCCCAGAAATCTTTTTAAGAATATAGAACTCCAGACTAGGTCATGGATACGGATACAGATATTATAAAAATGCCTGCGGATATCCGTCTGTATCCGCCGTAAATATCCGGATACCAAAATCATATCCGTGTCATAGTCTGTAGAACTCTAGGGAATAGAAAACTTTACTCACATATAACTACCATTCACACATATAGCACTAAACATACTAAAGTTTGAACTCCGAACTTCGACTTTCGTCTTTTCGCTTAGGGCCTTCGGCCCTCGCCGCAAACTCTTCGGCCTTCGGCCCTGGCATCATGGCCTAATGTCTAATCACCTAAAGTGTCTTATTGACATAAGATAGAAGGAAAATATGACCCAAATGTAATTTCTTAAGAAAAACAAAAGAGAAGGAAAAATGGGCGGGGCTTATGGGGGGGGGGAACTGCACTAGACCTATCCCTGTTTTTAAAGTGTAAAAAAATTTAAAAAAATTATCAGATTCTTCTTCAAGTAATCAAGTAAACTTATTAGAAAATAATGAAAAAAGGCAAAGGAAAAATCTTCGGAAAAATCTATGGTCAACGGACAAATTGGCTCAGATAAATAAAATACAAAATAAAATATTTGGGAATGAAAAGGGAATATTAATGGAATTCTATTTAGATAAAGCATCACAGAAAATAATTCTCGATAGCTATTTTAATGAAAATTTAGAATTTAAACAAGCATATGAACGTTATATGAAAACATGTAGGACGAAAAATGAAACAGAGGTATAGAAATATTATATCAGTCTCTCATTTATGAGGATTGATACACCGTAAATCTTCTAATAGAACCATGTGCTTTTATTTTTCGATCCTCTCGTATAGTGTGCTTATATTAGGGAGTGTGCTTCTTAGTGAGTGTGTCTTTATTTTTCAATCTTTTAAATATGATTTTTACCAAACATAAACAAGAACTAACCAGATAGCTAGCTCCGGAGCCGGCCGTAAAGCTGAAGCTAAGATTTTGAAAACCCAGGGCCTGAGCGAATATCGATCTTGATATCGGGTTAAATCTTGCACATCAATCTCGATCGGTTGTACTTCACTACCTGCAGTGAAGTACCATTCTAATCTAACAATTGAACTGGCACGTTTGGGACTTTTATACTCCAATCTTTTTAAATTTAGGAACCATTTATTCAAGGATTGTGTTTATTATATTCATATGGAAATATATCCTCAAGAAATTTAAAAAATTATTTTAAAATGAATAATGTAACTTTATTGACAAAGCTTCATGCCAGAAAAATTCGTTTTTTTAAAGGAATGGTTGGTAGAACGTGGGTTTTTAACTTTATTGGTTCTTGAATTATACCTTCGAAAGCGGGATCGTCGGGGATCCCGGGATCATCGGTTTGCCGGGGGTAGAGCCTTCGGGATTATAGGGGTCGGGGTTCAGGGTCGGGGGTTTAGCCTGCACGGGGGTAGGCGTTGAGGTTTGGGGGTTGTCGAAATAGAATCGGTGTTTGGGCCGGGGGTTTTTGACTAAAAATTCGTCGGGAGTCGTGTTGGGGTTTCGGGGGACAGGTCAGGTTTTTGTCCGCACGGGAGTGGGCGTTGGGGATCAGGGGTTGTCGGAATAGAGTCTGTGATGTTCGGGCCGGGGGTCGCATTGGGGTTTCGGGGGACGAGGTGCTACACTACTTATATTTTTCCTCTCGAGCATTAAAATTTTTTTTATCAAAATATTCAGAAAAAACGATTTGACAATGAAAGAAAAAATTAAAAAAATTAAAGAAAAAATTAAAATAAAAAGCAAAGAAAAATGTGGAGGAAAATGGGAAATTAACGGAAAAATTAATTTTTCGCCATTAGAAGCAAAACAATTTTATAACAAAATTTTGAATTTGGCAAGAGATTTCGAGTTTAATAAAAATTCAGGAAAAAATATCTTTCAAATAATTTATGGAAATGGATTATATCACGAATTAGTAAATTCTGATGATGTATTTACTGAAAAATCCCAAAATTTTCAAAAGTTTATGACTAAATTTAGAGGAATTATTTATGATTTTAAATGGGAATTAATTTGGAGCTGTATGTAAATTCTTTAAAATTATTCAAAATACTACAGTAGTGGTAAAAGGGCACATAACAGGGGTGCAGCTCGTGCCACAAAATGCGAGATACGAGACACGGGATACGAGACGAGATGCACCTCTGGTACATAATAGTGCCGTTTCCAGTCCCTCTTTTTTTCTCCACAAAATTTTTACCTATTATGTACAAAATGGTCAGACCTTGATATTTATTTGCTCTCCATCCCCCCAGTTACCGTTTTAGTTGAAGTACTAAATCTCCTTAAACCCCCAGTCTTCTCAACCCTGATCACATTCCCGAACGATTTTTTCACATACTCCGTCCCAAAACAATGTGAAAACCCCCGTACCCCGGGAGGCACGCCCCGAGCGTTCGGGGTCAAACTCAAGAATAAGGCTCGTTTCGGAATCACAAAGTCATTTATCTCTCTTACTTTTTATCCCTTTATTTTAATCCATTATTGTATATTCAAGCTATTATTTTCTAGTCATGGTCAGAAGTTATGTTTACAACCCTGACGAATCTACTGACAAAATTTGCGATCTTCTATTATTTCGTTTATTACTCGAATTTTTAAGTTCAATGGCAAAGATGGATAATTTCCTTAAATTTTTTTATTCAAATACAGAAATAAATTATGTGGAGGCAAAAAAGGAACATATTAAGCTTGCTAATAATTTAATTAAAATATTTAAAGAATATAACACAACGCCAAAGGAAATTTATAATTTAATTTTAAATAAGAGTTATGTGGAAAACACAAAGAAAATGATAACGAGAAAAGTTGAGGAATTTATTGAAAATTATATTGATGGACAATTAAAGATTGTTGTTGAACGTTTGGCAAGAAGTTAAAAAGAATGATATGAAAGAATGATATGAAAGAATGATTCGACTTTCTTCACAATTTCCCGCTTGACTTTTAAATAAATAAAGGCCAAACGATTATTAATCATTCGTCTTTGAACAGTCATTTTTTCTTGGAATTTCCTTCCCTAAGCTTTTATTATTAAAAATAATATTTTGTGAATAAATATTAAATTTATTTTAAGAATTCTAATTTAATTCGTGGGAATTATTTAGGGGTAAATTTAGCCGACAATACTTATCTTCTGGAGTAGTTATTAATAGGGTTTGACCCCGAACGCTCGGGGGCGGGTATGTCGGGGTACGGGGTTTTCGAATTGTTTCGGGGCGGGGTTCGGGTCGGGGGAGCAAAATATGGTCGGGGTTCGGGTCGGGGTACGGGGTTTTAGGAAAAAATTTTTTAAAGAAAAAAAGCACTAAAAATGAGCCATTTTTGGTCTATTTTCGTTAATATATTCACAAATTAATGAGAATAAGGTGGGATTAAATGGAAATAAGAGAAATTGGAGTGATTAATTGGATCTGGAGGTGATTAAGGAGAATTTGGAGGGATTAAAGCGGATATCTGGGGATATAAGAGGATTTGTAGGGACTAAGGGTAGTTTCAAGGGATATCATTGATTTAAGGGTTATCGAGTGAATAGGGATTTGGAGGATATCAGGGTAACTCTTTCTTTTCTGCGCCGCAGGCAAAATTTTGAGAATTTTATAAGGCCAAGAAGCCAGATTTTTTCGTTTTTTTTTGCGCCGCAAGCGAAAATTTTGAGAAAATTGAAAGGCCAAGAAGCCAAATTTCTTACATTTCCAGAGCCACAGGCGGAAATTTTTAAAATTTTTTAGGTCAAAAAGCCGGATGTCTTCGTTTATTTTAGCGCTGACCATGAAAATTTTTGAAATTTTAGCTAAACAAAAAATCTTTAAATTGTTTTTTATGGTTGATAATATTTAAAAATAAGATTTACATTTTAAATTAAAATTAAGTTCTTGATTTTGTAAAGAAAAATCCCAAAACAAAAGAGCCCAGCTTATTTGGATGCGAACCCAATCCTATATTAATGGAAATATAGGCTAAAACCAATAACTAAGCCACTCAACCACAAGTCTCCTAACATAGCAGGACAAAGAATTTTGATATTTCTTTTATTTTTCTTTCAAAAATAATAAAGGCAAAGTAAATTGGGAGTAAATTTTTAAAATTTTTCTCTTAAAATTCTCCCAAAAATGGCATTTTTTGGGTATATAAAACCCCGATAACCCCGAAACTTTTCGGGTCGGGGTACGGGGTTTTCACTTTTTTTCGGGGCGGGGTTCGGGTCGGGGAGAATCGTGAAAAAATCGTTCGGGAACGGGGTCGGGGTTCGGGGTACGGGGTCGGGGTCAAACCCTAGTTATTAACAACGACTTATTTTTATCCTGGGGTTCTAGTCATGGTAGAAGCCTGGGGTCACGTAGTTCGGCCTTTTTGCCTTTCGGCACTTTTGCCAAATTTCAATCAATTTTACGATAATTTAATTAAATAATAGTACTATAATATTCAAACATTTCCAAAATTAATAATAAAATAAATTAAACGTAAAAAATTTTATTTTTTTGTTGATTCATAAATTTAAATTTTTCTCACAGCTAAATATTTAATTTAAAAAAATCCAAAAAATAGTCCTATGATTATTTAAAAATAATTTTTTGATTACTCAAAATTAACCAAAACTATACAATTTTAACCAAATTTAATGAGGAATTGTACGATTTTAATATAAAAAATTAATTTTGGATCCATTTCCCATGAATAATCATCAAAATTAATTTAAATGGGGGTATATAAATGGATTAATTTTGGCTGTTAATTAAATTAAATTAAAAATAGTCTAATAATATTAAATTTAATTTTATTAAATATTAAATACTCAAAAAATATTTTATTTATATCTTAAAATAATAATTTGCTACCCAAGTCAACTCGTCTAATAAATTTATGAAATCTGATTGGAACCACCTAGAATGGATGGAAAAGACTAATAATCGGATGGATCACTCATCCATCTTGACAACGTCAAATATTCACCAATCCTTCCACAGCACCACAAAAATTTTGTTACCTACAGTTCTGTTACAAGTCAATTATATTGAATTCAGTTGAAATCAACTTGGATCACAACAGAAATTCATCATAAAGGAAATACAGGAAAACGTAAATTAATTTATAATCTAAAAATTCGTTAATATTTAGATTTCTTAAAATCGAAAGGAGAAAAATAAAAAAAATACTAAACGGCCAAGGCCCCTTGCGAATGGCTTAAATAAATTAATTTTTAAAAAAACTAGAAAAAAATCCGATTACATATTATTTCCTTATTGAAAAAATTAAATTTTAATCGAGTTTAAATTTTTAAATTTATTTTCAATCTCAACTCTTTCTTTTGTGATATCTCAATCCCATTCACGTTCAATTTTTTGCTATCTACTAGAATGCGATTAAGCCGCATTAAAAATAAAAAATCCTTTTTCGGAACACTTTTAGACAATTTTCCGTTAGCGGTTGACCATCCGTTAATGTTCTTAATTTACCAAAGTTTACTCATTTACACTTCAAAAACTATAATCATTAAAAAATTCATAATAATAATTATAGTTATATTCCATTAAATATTTATAGGAAATGTGAAAATGGACATTTAAAATTTGACCCAAAGGCGGCCTTCAAGCAGGTGAAGGACGAAGTTAGGAAACAGAAACTTGCTGTGATTGCGATATCGGAGGACGTAAATTAATTTATAATTTAAAAATTATTCTTATTTTGGTTTCTTCTAATCGCAAGGAAAATGAAAAAATTTTTTAGAGGAATAAGATATCCAAAATATTAACAAAAATACTAGCCGGGAAAAAACTCTCTTGGATGGATTAAAAAATAAATTTTGAGGAAAATCGAAAGGGTCAATTGGACCTCTATTTTTTCTTATTGAAAAAATTAAAGTTTGCTTGAACTAAATTTTTTAAACTTAAGTTATAGTTATCTCATTCATATCAAAATGAAAATTTTTTGTGAATATTCATAATATTAAAAATAAAAATTCTGAAAAATTTCTGAAATTAAAAATAAAAATCTGAAAATAAAAATTCTGACAAAATTGGAAAAAATCCAAAAATTTCAAAACCCGTTGATTTACATACATACCTGGTATCCTCTACACTAATCCCGTCTGATTAACAACTTAACTTAATTTTAAACAATAAATTTGAAAATAAATTCAGGCAAAGAAGGCGACGGATGAACGTCTTGCCCAAGCGAAACAAATCGCAAGATTGGAAGAGATGCTGATGGAAGATAGACGAAATAATAAGAGAAATACTGAAAAATTGGAAAAGGAAATCGAGGAGTTGAAAAAGGATGTAAAAGAGATAAAGATTGATGTGGAAATGTTAAAGAATTGGAAGGAGACGGTGGAGCAACAAAAGGAAGAGGCCCGCGAGCAGGCAAAGAAGATAAGGGATGCGGTGGGGATGAAGCGGCAACCGGGAAAAAAGGAAAGCCGGGGCCTTGCAGGAAAGGTCCAAACTGGAATTGAACAGCGTGTATGGTAAAGACAGCGAGATTGGGGGCGCCGCTTTGTTCCTTGGCGGCCGATGGCCTAGGAAATTTGGCTGATTATGGTGTATCGCAGTTATGTAAGTTGGTGGATGTTGGAATTGATAAGGTGAAAGAAGTAAAAATTTAATAAATTTAAATAAATAACTGTTAAAATTTGGAGCCTATTAGTATTTGAGTCTATAGGTAGTTAGGGAAACCCTAAGTCGAAACACCGAGGTTTCGATTAATTTGAGAATAAGTTCTGTCTCGCTTAACCGAAAATTTAGTGAGACCGACAACTCTGTTTGGGAGATTTTCTTCGTTTTCTATGTACTATCGAAATTCTGTTTCATGTTGGGGATCTGTCTCTGTCCGATCTCCTTTTCCCTATCGAAGTATCAATTTTGGGTGGATTTTTTCGGGTTTAGGGCCAGTCCTGTTATCTCTTTAAAATTAAAAAATCTTGATTTTCCTATCTCTACTTTAATTTTATTTAGATGCTGTAATCAACATAATGAATGTCTCAATGAGCTTTTAAAGAGTTGTCCATCAACTCCATCGGCTAAGCACTTC